GAAAAAAAAAGCAAAAAACAAAAAAAACAAAAAAAAAAAAAAAAAAACCCACAAAACCCACCCCCAAAAATTTTTTTGGGAAAAAAAAAAAAGCAAAAAACAAAAAAAACAAAAAAAAAAAAAAAAAAACCCACAAAACCCACCCCCAAAAATTTTTTTGGGAAAAAAAAAAAAGCAAAAAACAAACTAACAAAAAAAACCCCATGAAAACAAATCTTGACAAGGCAGTGCTGATCTGGGGTATAAGAGACAGAACTGCCTCTCTTGCTGTGCATGATTCAGTGGAGATGTTTGGGCTTGTGTTGGACAGTAGCTCTCATAAGCCTAACAGAGGTACTTAACATGGAATAACTGCAGAATTATAACCTAATTGTTTCACGTATTGGTTATGAGTAAGATTTCAGTTAATTTAACTACATGGGAGACTTAAAATGCCAGCATTATTCTGCTATTAGGGTCATTGGGAACAAAGATAATGAGATGCTTTTTATTTACCAAAAGCTTTAACTCAAGCTAAGTGGCAAATTCCCTTCCAAATACTCAGAAAATTTATTTCTAACTAAAGACAAAATGCTTTTAGATCTTTTTTCTACAAAATTTACCACAGATGTTTTAATGAAACACAGAACTAAACTAGAAAGCCTGCTATAAATAAGTGTCTGGAAAGCAGCTTGGCACGGCCATGCAGCTGTTGGTTTTCTTTTTTCCCTTTCTACTTTAATCTCAGTAGTTGAGAGGAGTGTATTTCTTTTACCATTGCATTGACAGCTGATGTTCAGTTTGTGTAATTCAGCTTTTACACTGTGCAGAGATTCTCTTATGCAAAAGGTATCCTCATTTAGCCAATTTAAAGATTAATTTATGCTGCTGGAACGAGGCATTACGTCTTTCTGCATAAATAGATTGTCTCGAATGTAGGTGTTTTTCAAGCCTAGACCTAACTTCTAATGCAACAGTGCTTATATTTGATAGTTACATCAAAAGTCTGTCACTGCTTTACAGCAGTTCACCAGAAGCAAAACTTAAAGCAGGCCTGCAAAACTTATCCTAGATTCTTGCAAAAACAAGCCCATTTGCAGACAAGGGCTTCCTTTTTATTTAGCTGTCATTTGTGTCACAAATTACTTCATTCCTTGTTATTCCACCTGTTAGCAGTACAAATTGACATGACTTAGCTGATGTAGGTCTGCAATGACAGATGGATTCACATGAGCTGTAAGTACTTTTTCTCAAGTGATAGCCTTGCATATATTAAATAAAATTCTTAAACCACTTAGCATTTACACTCCTCATCACACTGAGGCTGGCACAAGCTGTGGAAGCTTCCTTCATGACACACACACATTGTGAAAACCCAAATTATAAACTGCCAGAGCTGCATGTCTCTCTTCATATTCTCTTGCAAACTACACACCCTGTTCTTTGCTCCACTTTGGGGAAGCTCTCAGCTCGCTCCTCTTGCAGCTCCTGACTGAAGTGTTGTGTGAAAGGTTTGTTGTGTAAATGCCCACAGAAGTTACAGGCAGGAGGCTTCACGGTGCTCTGCTGTCTTTGAAGAGCCAGAGATTGCTCAGCTTGCTGAGCTGGGAAGGAAAAAAGGGAAAACAAATACCTGTCCTACTGTTCCTTTCTAACTGAAGCTAAACTCCTTCACTGAGTTTTTGTGTCAACAAGAACAAGAGATGGGTGCCAGGCTGTGAGCTACCCTGGAAAGGTTCTGTTGGCCAAACCTCTCTGTGGCCAAACCTCTTCAGAGTGTTCAGCATTCAAACTGCATTAGCAGCAGAACCATCAAAATTATTCTTGCCATAAACTCCTGTCTGTGATCATCATGCTGTGGTCAGCAGCTGGATCATTGCGCCAGGTTATGAGCTACACTGGAAAGGTTCTGTTGGCCAAACCTTTTCAGACTGTTCAGCATTCAAACTGCATTAGCAGGAGAGAACCATCAAAATTATTCTTGCCATAAACTCATCTCTGTAAATATCATCATGCTGTGGTCAGCAGCTGGATCATTGCCCCCTGTTCCCCTGTCTGTGATCATCATGCTGTGGTCAGCAGCTGGATCATTGCCCCCTGTTCCCCTCACAGAGCCCCTCTCTGGAGCTGCTGTGGAAGTATCCTGATGTGACTTTTTTAATGAAGTGTGACCATCAGTTATTTCCTTAATTTGTGAGTGTTAACTATCCAGCTCCTTGACATTGTAGGAAAAATAGAAGCAAAGAAATTTGGCTTGATGAAGCAACCCACCTTCGTGAACCTCAATATATTGCATGCAAGAAATTGAGAATGCACTTAATTTCCAGAAACTGGAAGTGATATAGAATGGTTTGCTCACTGCTTTCCTGGACTCCTCTTCAATAAAAAGCACATTCCACAGAGGATATCCCCTCTTCAGTGTTTTACTGCCTAGTTATTTATGGCTCTTTGTCTAACACACATTACAATGTTCACATTTACTCCACAGGGCTCCTCAAAAAATTCATGCATAATTGTAGAGTACTAAACTAGATGATTAACAGTTTTCTTTTGCCCAAAATTAATATTTTATTACAATATCCAAGTGCACCTGAGTGAGCCCATTATTCTTGATATTATATAAACTGACATTTGAAAGCAAATTGTATTGACAGACCCTTATTGAACAAAATTACTCAACAAGAACCATCAAGGAGCAATTGTACATAGTGAATTCAACTATGATTATAGTACTCCAATAAGGAGAAAAGTAACTTTTTTTCACCCCCAGTTAATGCATTTTTCTTTATTCTGAATTCCAGCACTTACACTTCTATATTTGTTGTTAAATGAAAACTGCTAATCCTTTCCCAGTGACTAACAAATTGATTCTTCTATTGCATATGCATTTCCTGGGATACCTGAGCCAAGTGGCTCTTCCAGTTTATTCTTATTATAAGGTAAACATTCCAGTGCTGTTCCACTGGAATGTTTGCCTTATAAA